AAAAAAAAAAAAAAAAAAAAAAGAAAAAAAAAAAAAAAGAAAAGAAAAGAGCTAAGACAGATGAGCCTCCATACTCTCTGATGAAGCTGACTGGATGATGTGAGCACCTGCTCTAAAGTCCCAGACATAACCTGCTGGCAGAGCCTCCTTAGCCAGCAAGCCAAAGGAGGGTACGGTGCTCAGGGCAGGAGTGCTGTGGGATGTCTTTCTGTATGCTGTGAATATGTGTTGCTTTCACTGGTTGATAAATAAAGCTGCTTTGGCCCATGGCAAGACAGGATAGAGTGAGGTGGGAAATCCAAGCAGAGATACAGGAAAAGAAGGGCAAAGTCTGGGAGATGCCAGCTAGCCGCCAAGGAAGCAAGCCATGTAGAAAGTGAGGTAACAAGCTACGAACCACATGGCAAAGTGTAAATTAAAAAATAGGGGTTTACTTAAATGTAAGAGCTAGGTAATAATAAGCCTGAGTTATTGGCCAAGCATTTATAAGTAATATTAAGCTCCAGAGTGGTTATTTGGTTACTGGTGGACAGGAGAGAAATCTCCAATTACATAGGAGGGCTCCCAAGTGGCATGGGATGGGCCCAGAGCAATTCAGAGTATGGTAGGGCAGAGGACAGATGAGAGAGGTGGGGGTACATGGCGAAGAGAGGTAAGACAAAATAATGACATTGGGAAGTAACTGAGGCACACGGGGAGGACAGCTGCAGGATTGTTGGATTAGAAACTCATGGGAGCACAGCATAGGGAGACCATGAGAAGTAGGAACTGTGAGAAGGTGGGTTGGAGTGTCTAAGAGGGGAATAACACTGGAGGAAGATGAGATTGGCTCCCAAAAAGGCATTGGTTTCCCCCAAAGGTTAGGGAGTTAGGACTGAGCTGGAGGCTACACAGGTAAAAGCTCTCCGAAGCTTCACTAGTTTGGGTAATGTTCTGGCTCTGGGGCTTTCTACCATAACTGGGCCCAGCACATGAAACAGATGTGTCCATCACTTGCAGTTCAGTGGCCAGAAACAGATAGTGGCTGACAACTCTCGGTAGGTTGTCCTGGAGGGGACAGGAAGATGATGGAGGCCAGAGCTCCACAGAAATTAATGTAGAGTATTGAATGGAGAACTTGAGAAGGCATTACTGACAGGAGGAGAGAGTGGTGTGGGATTTGAAAGAAAATGGCCCCCAAAGGTAGTGGCCTTGTTGGAAGAAGTGTGTCACTGTGGAGGCAGGCTTTGAGGTCTCAAATATGCTCAAGCCATATTCAGTGAGCCAAACCACTTCCTATTGCCTGTAAGCCAAGATGTAGGATACTAGTCTACTTCTCCAGCACCACATCTGCACACCATATTGCACCATGATGATAATGGCCTTATCCTCTGAAAATGTAAGCCACCCCAATTATATGTTTTTTCTTTGTAAGAGTTGCCATGGTCATGGTGTTTCTTCACAGCAATAGAAATTCTAACACATATGGGGCTGAGAGCAGGAGGGAGTGAAGAGTTCAAGGTGGAGCCCTTGGGGAAAGGAGCCCTAATAAGGCTGCTGCAGGGGCTGGAGAGACTGCTCAATGGTTAAGAACATTAGCTGGTCTTCCAGAGATCTTGAGTTCAATCCCCAACAATCACATGATGGTTCACAACCATCTGTAATGAGATCTGGTGCCTTCTGGCCTGCAGACAGACTTACAGGCAGAATACTGTATACATAATAAATCTTAAAAAAGAAAAAAGGGCTGCTCCTGCTGTGGCCTATAGGGCTTGTAATGTGAGGTCAAGAGAGGCTGAAACCTGGCCATGAGTATATGAAGGGTGTGGCAGGGTGGGGGGAGACGATTGTAAATAGTAGGACAACTACAAGGTGTGGGGTTGTTAAAGAGGCTGACACCACCCGCTGCCCTCCCTGTATCCCAATTGGAAGAAAGCACAAGAAAGTCCATTTCCTGGAGAGGGTCAGGAAGCGAGACATGGGACCATGACCTCAGCTACAGCAAGAGGAAGGTGGAAAGCTGGAGAGGCTGGGGCAGGGGTAGGAGGGATGGAGGATTTCACCAGAATCCAGGACTTCAAGAGAGCAAGAATGACAAGCATAAGGGCCAGGTGACTACAGGGTGCCAAGAACATAATACCAGATACCCTGGGAATGGCAGGAGACTCTAGGGCCTCTCTGGGGCCATCCACTCTCCAACTAACCAGTGAATTCTCAAGGTCTTTGGTAGTCTATCAGAATGCAGAGAAAAGGGAAGAACGGTTTTTACTCCCAAAGGTCTGGGAGACATTTATATCTAATAGAAGATTCCAGAAATGGAAGCTATTAATATAGCTGGAGAGATTGAAGAGTGAGGAATTTCAGGAGAATACAACAGATTCCCCTGGGCCTCTGCAGTAGTCCTGTGAAGTAGGAGTTAGGGAAGTGTCCCTTCTCTTAAGGATGGGGATGAGACAGTTTATCATGGTGAGTTGAAGGTCATAAGACCCATACATCAAGTCCATAACCAGTGTTTTGTAAATAAACCACATCAGGAATGAGGAGTCTGGGGTTTGGGTGCTTAGTCCTAGACGTCATGATGAGTATGCAGCAGAGAAAGTGTCCCATAGGGTTGTCCCGTGAACCTCATCTATGGAGGCTCTTCTTCCTCAAGAGTTTCCTGGCTTCCCCTTCCTCACCTTCATCCCAGCTCTGCCACAATCCAGCTGTGGCTACTAGCATACTAGTAAACCGGTGCAGCTCCCCACTGTTCTGAGATGTCACTATAGCTCTAAATCAGAGGCTGTCTGTAGGATGTGGCTCAGGCTGCTGGGGAGACCTTCCAAGAGGATAAACATCTTATGACCGAGGGAGTGGGCAGGCTGGAACATAAGACTGGGTGAGGCTCCCAATAAATCCCAGTGACATGATAGATCAGTGTCAGATAAATCATTTGGAACTTTGGGTTGTTAGTACCAGTTTGGCAGATAAGAAGGGCAAGACCCTGCAACCTATTTTGCCCTATATATCAGAGTACATCTCTCAAATCTGCACAAGTGGAGCAAACTACTAGAAGACTTGGGGACAGGAGACTGGGGACCTTGTATGTGTGGCCCATGGGAGTAGCCAGGAATGCAGCAAGCTAATGGCAGTCTGGATAGGATGGCTAAGCAAAGGGACCCAAGCCCTAGAAATTACCAAGTGTCTCAAATAATTTGGTTTTGTATTTGTAGTA